TTAGTGTGTGGTCCGAACAGTATCCGAACAATGGTGGCTAGCAGCGGTGACAGCGGCCCGCGGAAGAGCAGCGGCGGCGGTGACCTGCGGATAGCAGCGGAGACGGCTTCCTTCGGATGAGCATCGTCGGCCTGCGGTGGGAGAGCTTCGATCTAGATCCGGTGGAGCGGAGATAGCGAGCTACAACTCCATGTTCAGTTGCGCACAACGCAGGCGATTGTGGTTGTGTGCGATACAAGTGGATCCATATACGATTCTCAGTTTCTCAAGGTGTGGCGGTGTGGTCGGCGGTCGGGGTGACGAGGAATCTGGACTCGCAGAAGATGAAAGAAAGCGCTGTCGGCTGAGTTCTTCTCGATGAGGAAGATTGGGGCGGCAGACTGAGGGAGCAGCAGACTGTTAGTGCTTGTAGATCTAACTGTCGGTTTAGTTCTTAGGAAAAGGAAGATTCCGATGACTAGGAAGGCCGAACAAGAGAACGGCGATCAACGTGAGAGAAAGATAGGTTAGGTTAGAACTCGTGCTGATAACGTGTTGTAGGGAGAATTGTGTGCATACTTTCATTATCAAAGGCCCTATAAATAGGGAGATATTAGGGTTTACAGAGACGGGCCAATGGGCCCATATAATACATAGTTTACATAGAATGATCCTAATACATATTCTATATACACGATAGCACACTATAAAGAATTTCCTTCAACATGAAGATATTTTTAATGATTAATAGAAGCTAAGGTATACATTGAGGTTTAAATAAAACAAAGACATGTTAGGGTTTAAATGAAATCAGACATGTTAGGGTTTAGTGTGGACACATTTTAATACTTTAAATGCATGAACTTCTATTAAATAGCATACACTGACTTTTTATTAAATGAAATACCATGGACCTTTTTAAGTTACTGCACATTAAGTATACATAAACAAAGGTAACCCGCCTCAAGAAAATGCCTCATGGAGTGTCTCAAGGATTAAGCCAGCACTTTTGAGGCGTAAGCCTCTTGACATGCAAAAAAAAAACTAAGCCTTAGCATACAATATGTACGCCTCAAAGCCCGCCCTATAGGCGCCTTTATAAACCATGAGAACTGTTATATAATATTTAAGATGTTATTGATCTTTACTCTGTACTTATTAGTATACAGGAAGTATGTGTATTTCAATTTGAAAAACTAAAATAGGACTACAATAAGGATAATAAACAAAAATGTGACCATACATAATTACTACAATAGTAACTTATAGTGACCATTATTATGATCAATTTACACATAAGTGACGATGAGTACGTGTATGCTTAGAGTAATTTTAGTCATATTTTTGTCTCTGAGTTTTTTCACTAATATGTATGAAAAAACCTCTGTTCGTGGCCTCTCTGGGATCAATGAACATTTTTTAATTATAGTGAATGTTTTTTGTTTTATTTACTAATTTTTTTAGTGTGTTATGTATTTATTTTGGAATTTAACTTTAGAGGTTAGAAATGATGCTAACATGGAACATATTTGTAATTCTTATAATATCAAACTTTGAATATCTTCTTCAGACACAAATTTAGCAAGGATTTGTAGGAGACTTTAAAAAATTAGGAACTGAAAAATGACAAGAACCGAACCATTAAAGTTTGGTTCGGTTCCATATTGGTTCCACAGAAAACTTATAAGAGTCGAATCAATATTAAGATTGAGTTTTTTAAACGGTTCGAAATAGTTTGCTTAAGAACCAAACCTGTCCCAGGTCTACTTCGTATGACGTCAATTTTTCGCTTCAATATAAGTTTAGTGTATTTTATAAATTGGTATGTACTACATATATTTTAACTATTTAAAACTTTGAATCACATTTAATCTGGATTGATTTAATCTGGATTGATTTAATCCTAATATATGAGATTTGCCATAAATTTTTAACTTATTCAAACTTCAAAATCCGAAAGAAACCACACAAAGTGAGATGGGGATATTATTATATTAATATAAGTCTAGTAAAAAAATAGATATTGGCTCCTTTGGGGGATTTAATAAGCCAACCCTTTTGAAGCTCATATAATAAAGAGCATTAATGACAATAAATTTTGGACAATGATTTAATCGATTGGATTTGTATAAACTTATAATTTTTATATTTGAAATAATTTTGCGTTAAAATATCATTGGTCAAACTTGACCAACAATGACTAGTAAAAGTCAACAGGACCACGTTTTATGGGACATATGAAGTTTGAAAATAACTAAAATTAACCTCTACACTAACTTCAGCCGATTCATGCAAAAAAATAATTGCAACCTTACTTATTTTGATAATTAAACAATTCAACATAAGAAATCAAAAGTTACGGAAATTAATTTGTTAAATTTAGTACCAAATACCAAAGTATTAAGAGAAACCAAATCAAAGTACTATTTTTTTGTTCAATTTGGTTCGATTCATTTGAATCTAACTATTTTGTCCAACCCTAGAAATTAGTATGTACTACTCGCTCCGTCCCGCTAAGATTGTTGCATCTTTCCTTTTCGGTCCGTCATACTAACATCATTGCATACCAAATTTGATAAAATTTGTGTGCTTCTTAATCATTCTTACTTTCTTTTTACTTTATCAATTCGATTTCATCCATGTAAATCCATTTTACATAATAAATGTACCATCTCCTCATACTACAATGTTAGTGAGACGGAGGTAGTATCAAATACCAATTTCTGCCCAATACAAAGCAAAAATGCTCGGTGCACACAAAATGTGTATGCCTTTGACACCCTAAAACCGACATGTCCTTAAAACCGACATGTGTGACCTCTCCTGCCTCACCCCACAAAGCCTGGCGTGTGCGACTTTTCCGGCGTGCACGCCCTCCCCTCGTTTCACCCTCTCGAACCCATTTTTCATATAAAGAACTCATTTGTCGCAGTCGCCACCCCATGAACCACCGCTCCTTCAGTGAGTAGTGATAATTCGTCGGCACCCCTCACGAATGAATGCATCCCCCCCAGTTCGTTGCATTTGGTCACTTCGTCGTAACTCCCAAAAAGACACATTTGTCCGTAAACACCCTCTTATTTAAAGCCTAGATGATTTGTAGTGAAGGTCTGAAGGTATGGTGCGAACAAGTTTGAAAAAATTGCTGAATGGTAACATTTTTGGTCCACTTATCTAGTACTCAACCTTTGTATAGTACTTCATTTCAAAATAAATACTACCATTTGAAGATTGGAGGATAATTGGCTGCGTGGATAAAACTGTTGTCTATGAGGGCTAAAACAAAAATGTCGGTAGTGTGGTTTTCAGTTGTCCATGACTTTAGAGTTATCTGTGATGTTGTTTGTGTGTTGTCTGTAATTAATTTGTAGATGTTTGTCGTGTTATTGTAAGATGTATATAAATGTTTGTTATGTTGTTGTGAGATGTATGTATTCGATTTGTAGTTATCTTTGATGTCTGTTTGAGTTGTCTGTGATTGTTATCAAATTGTCTGTCATTTGCAAAATATATGTATAATTGGTATTTAGTTGTCTGTCATTTGCTTGTGAGTTGTATGTTATTTGTCGTGTGTATTTGTTAGGATGCTATAGGGCTTTGCAATTACAAATTTATATTTTCGAGCATTTTCCTGCCTAATATTCAGTGTGCTCAGATTTAAAAGATGTTGCAAGTTTGGTGCAATCTGTGTTGTCTTGAAAGCAAATGGTTGAGTTTCGGAAGACGCCATGGAACCATCTTCTTGATGTACAAGAGCATCAATTCTCCAGTCAAATCATCCATTCATTGTTGTCAAGGTTAGTGTGTGAGCAACCCAAAGACAAGCTTTGGTTTTGCATTCAAGGCCAATTGTTGAAGTTTATCTATGCTGATTTCTGTCGCATCAATGTACTCCATTCTATAGATGCAATGCCATTTGTTCTCTAATGATGATGAAGGTGGGGGTGGGGGTTATCTTTTTTCATAAGTACTTTGTTGGAGCCACAAAGATGAGCTCCATGTCTTTAAAGTAAAGATTAAAGCCATTTAAGCCTACAAAAGAGGAGATCCCGCTAATGGTTTGAAGCTTGGGTGTGTTTTCAAAGTCCGTGCGTTTTACTGGAAAAGGACAAGAAAATGAAGATCAGTTCAGAGTATATCAAATGGGTGGATGAGTTCGACAAATTTAAGTCTTACCCGTGGGAAATGGAGTCCTACAAGCTGATGATTCTTCAAATGAAGATCCTAATGGTTGACTAACCCAAGAAGTTCAATAAAAGAATTGCCACCAGTTATGAATACCGAAACAAAAAGTTCACATTGTACGAGTTTCCTTATGTTCTACAGGTAATGGTTTATAATTCTTGTTATCTTTTGTATTGTAATCTTTATGTCCATATGAAACACATAGTTGTCTGCATGGCACACATTTTAATATGCCACACAAACATTCCAAAGCTTCAGATAGACAATTCATTCTGCCACACAGACAACTCATCACTAAACTCAGATATATCCTTCTCAATGAACTTCATTCAAGAAGATGGAGGGACAAGATGATGATTGTCGTTCGCTTGTACTGTAGCTTGCTCGATTGTCTGAATAAAAAAGGCAGAAAATGGAAGAGTGTAGCCGTTGAAGCCAAATGAGAGAGGGTGATATGAGAGAAATTTGGAGAGGGAAAAAGATAAGAACCATTCTTGATGTACACGTTTTGACGTACATTCACCGTTCTATTTTCTGGTAGTGCTCACACACGAATTGCGTTTGTTTGTTACAAATTGCCTCTGTACATCCACAAAATTAGAGAGGTGTACAAAAAGTGTACATCAAAATGATAGTAACTCTATTTTTTATTCATAAGATAATAAAAATTGAGGAGTTTGTATATGAGATTTGTAATAAAAAGATGTACACAATTTGTTTACCCTAGACATTATAATAGAATAAAAAGGGGGTTCGGTTGAGATACACCCTACGTTTAATAACACACGAAAGTGGTACGTGTGTCCGTAGTACGGTCTAGAACAAAAATGGGTTACCCTTGAAAACAAACCTATTGGTGCAGTTTGCTCTTAGCCTTAAAGTAAAAACTCGAAAATCTTCTCTTCCCATCTCCCCCTTCTGTCTTGGAGATTTTATATAAAAATAGTTACTCCTATATATAGATATAGATTCCTTTTTCAGAGTAGTTGAAATACAAAACCCTAAAAGGGGTTCTCTGCTAGGAAATTCGCCGCCAGCTCCATCTCTATCTCAGCTTCGCCCCATTGTATACGCTTCATAGACCTTGTACTAGTTTTGCGTTTTATTGCTTGTGAAAACGCTTTCTTGTTGTTCTATGTACAACCATTTGCAGTAATCGATTTGATATAGCTGATTTTTGAGGTTCTTTGGTTGCGTGATCAGAGAGGCTACACGATTTTCCAGCGTTTTTAGGTTCAGCTGGCGGTAGTTGTTGGATGGTTGAGTAATTAATTGGTTGTTCGTTCAACTCGTGAATATGTTATCTAGATTCAGTAGTAGGCCAGTCACGGGAAACAATGACAATTCTTTCGGAGATGATCTGGAAGAGGAGATAGGTCTGTTGCTTGGTGAACAGAAGCGTCAAGAAACTGATGATCTTGAAAAGGAACTTAATTTGTATAGAAGTGGTTCAGCTCCTCCCACCGTAGAAGGCTCTTTTAGTGCAGTAGGTAGCATCTTTAAGCATGGAGGTGGTGGTGCCACCGGCGCTGGTGGTGATGGCAGTGGAGGTTTCTCCACCATTCAAGAATTTGCTCGGAATAAAAACGGCAATGGGTTCATATCAGAAGAGCAGCTTAGGTCCGACCCCGCCTACTCATCTTACTATTATGCTAATGTGAACATGAACCCTAGGTTACCTCCTCCTCTATTGTCCAAAGAGGACTGGAGGTTTGCTAAGAGATTACAAGGAGGGAGCTCTGCTATAGGAGATAGGAGAAATGTGACCAAGAATGATACTTCCCCCGTTGGTAGGTCACTATTTTCCATGCCACCTGGATTTAACCCGAAGGAGGAGTTGAAGAATGAATCAGAACAGTTACAGGGTTCAGTTGAGTGGGGTGGTGATGGTCTGATTGGGTTGCAAGGATTAGGATTGGGTGCAAAACAGAAAAGCATAGCTGAGATATTTCAGGTGGATAATATGTATATATGATGAAAAGCTATTTATATTCATCTATGTATTTTCTTGGTTTTACTGATGAATGGTTTATGTACAAGGCTGCTGTATGTTTTTTAAGTTCTGAATTCTATTTTACTGATGAATGTTTCGGTACCAATTCCACCAAGATTGTATTTCAGGTTATGATGCTCTGAAAGGTCAATTTATGCAGTATGATTAAAATTCATATGGTTTCATATACCTGAAAATTGATTTCTCTTAAAAGTGGTGTGCATGTTAACTCTTGTGTTCCTTTCTTTGTAGTTATGCAAAGTTCCTGGCTTTCTCTCACCACTAATTTATCATGTTTTGTAGTAATTTAACTCTTAGAGCACTTTCTTGATCGGAAGCCTTAGTGGCTGCTTTATTTGGGGGGTTTGGTAATATGGATAATTGGACACTAATGTGTTTTTGTTGAAAACTTAGACTCATGTTGAAGATGTTGCCTTTTGTTCCACTATCAACATATACTCAAACAAGAAGGTAGGTCTCTCAAACAATAATTTGAAAATATTCATGCATTGGATTTATTTGGTTTTTAATAAAGGAAAGTAATCTGCACAGGATGAAATACTCTTGTGTGCTCAGTGCTCATTAGAATTAATCTTGTAATTTCTGGCTTGAACAATAAGTCTTTAAGCAGTAGTCTTTTTTCTTGAAAGCATCCTTATTGTGGAAGCTTCTTAAACCATATTGCATTGCTTATATTATTGATAAAAGTGAATGTGTGCTGGTCCATTCTATATGTGTTTTGTTTATATGTTAACAAATAATTCTCAACTATTATTCTGGCTGACCTGAAGTTGTGATTGTTGTAGGATGACCTCAACTGCGCCCCTTCATCGGGCGTTCACCTTTCACACCCAACTAGCTGCAATGCATTTGTAGGGAATGACGATTCATTGACTTCTGCAGAATCTGAGCTATCTCACATCCGTCATGACCTTTCATCCTCAGATCCATTAAGGTCAACAGCCCATGGTTTATCAGGTGCTCATAATGTTGGTCTACCTCCATCATATTCATATGCTGCTGTTCTGGGAGCCTCCCTGTCAAGAAGCACCACACCTGATACTCAACGTGCTGCTAATGGTCCAAGTCGTTGTGTTACTCCTATTGGTGGTGGGAGGGTTACTACACTAGAGAAAAATTCTATTCATAGTCCAAACACATTAAATGGCGTCAACTCTAGTATAAGTGATCCCATTGATCTTGTTGCTTCTTTGGCTAGCATGAACCTTTCAAATGGTATGGTAGCTGTATAGGTCATTTTCCTTTGAGTTAATACCCGATTTTGGCCCTTCAACTATACAGTATAACTCAACCGGGTCCCCATCTTTCTTTATGAAATCAATTTCGGAATGAAAATAAGACTCTTTTAGTCCCTGGCCATATTTTAAACTAAATTTCAAGTGTATCTTCTTACTCTGAAGACTACATCGAGTCCAATGTACATTGTTGAGGACCATATTGAGCTCTGATTTGGGTCTACTTTTGATGGATTAATTAAAACAACACCCTAATAACTTTAGAGTAAAAAAGCCCCAGGACTTAACTTGATCCAAGTCATCTCGTCCTGGATCGAAATGAGTCCCATAGAAAGCCAAAGACCAAATTGAGTAATAGTCTATAGTTGAGATACTAAATGGCTATGGATTCTCAATTTTATATATTGCAGACAATAAATTTAGCTGTAATTGAACATTGCAGGTAGTCTGAGTAACACAAAACAACATGCTTACTTGAAGAAATCTGAATCTGCACATTATAACTATCCTTCTGCTTCTCAACGAGCACAGTATAACTCTGGTAGTGGTGATGATCATCATCATAGTTCAATTCTCCAATCTAATATGCAAAAATCTGCTTTTGCCTCAAATGGTTCATACATTAAAGCTTCGCCGTCTTTAAAACTAAATGGTGGAGCTGGCTTACATTGTCATCATCCTAATTTCGACAGTTCATATTCAAGTTATGACTTGAACGGTCAATCTGCCAATTTCAATTCAACCCAGCATGGCAGCTTTAATTTTCCACCCTTGTATGAAAATGCAGCTGCTGCATCTGCTCTGGAGTTCCCACGAATGGACTCAAGATTTACCTCTGATCAGCACCTTGGCAGGATAGGGAATCATATAGCAGCAGGTCCTGCTGCAATGCAGGCACAATTTATGGATCCAATGTATGTTCAGTACTTGCTTCAGCTTGCAGCACGTAATGGTCATTCCTCGGATCAGGATTGTATAGATAGTGAATATATCAACTTGCTTCAGAAAGCTAGTAATGCCTTATCTTATCGGAAACCACAATTTGGTGTTGCATTCAACAGTAAAAGTATGGGTTCTAATAATCATCATGGTTACTATGGGAATCCTGCATTTGGCGTTAGTTTGTCATATCCTGGTAGTCCCATGGCATGTCCTGTAATTCCAAACTCTCCTGTGGGACCCGGCAGTCCTGTGAGGCATGGTGATTACAGTATTGGATACTTAGCAGGATTGAGAAACTCAGGTGCCAATGTCATGGGAACGTGGAACTTGGATAACACGGAGAACGGCTATCCCTCTCTTCTAGAAGAGTTCAAGGGAAATAAGGGAAAATGTATTGAACTATCAGAGATTGCAGGTCATGTAGTTGAGTTCAGGTATGGAAGTTATAATTCTGTATTTCATTCTTCAGATTCGGTATTTTACAGTTTTGCAAGTACTGTATGATTTGAATTGCTTTCTTAGAAGTAACATTTCTTATGAACTGCTGTTGGTTACTCTTCATTCTTAAAACCATTTTTACACACAACCTTGTTTTATAAGACTGATCTTTTCAAGATTGCACCCAAACACAAACTTGTTTTCCCCAAATGATTTTTACCAAACTAACGATGAAAATGAACTTTTGATAAATACTTTTGGCCAACTGAAGTCCAAACACACATGAATTTATGTATGTCTGGGTAGTCTCTTTCTGATAAGTTTCTTTTGAACATTTTGTATCAGTGCTGATCAGTATGGGAGCAGATTCATTCAGCAAAGACTAGAGACTGCCACAACTGAGGAGAAAAACATGGTTTTCCAGGAAATTATTCCTCACGCATTTACACTCATGACGGATGTCTTTGGTAATTATGTAATCCAAAAGGTATTCAGCGATCATCTCCTTGTAGCATTTGAAGTGCTTGGCAATGTTTTAGAATGTATGAAGTGCTACATGTTCTGCTCTCTATTATGCTGTAACTATTAATTTTGTTTTTCAGTTTTTTGAACATGGAATAGCAACTCAAAGGAGAGAGCTAGCTAACAAGATTTTTGGGAGTGTATTAACACTAAGCCTGCAAATGTATGGCTGTAGAGTGATACAGAAGGTAAAACCAGTAAATATGGGTCAATGATCTCTACCTGAGTATGTGCATATAGGATCTATCACACTATCATTACCTCTCATTGTTTAGTACTCCCAGTTCTGAAAAAGAGTCATGTTTTACAACTTTTTAACTCTGGAAAGGTACAATTCTTGTAAATTACTAATATGTTTATGAGAGAATTCCCTAAATAGGAGTAAAAAAGTTTTGAAATTCCAAAATAGGAGTATCATGTTTTTTATTCCTTGAATAGGAGTAAATTTCTGCCAAGTTTGGCATTACTAGGCTTTAAACATGGCATTTTTTTCTAAACTTGGCAGATTACTGCTATTCAATGAATAAAAAACATGATACTCCTATTTTGGAATTTCAAAACGTTTTTGCTCCTATTTAGAGCAATTTCTATATGTTTATTTAAGGCGTTGCTTCGTAAACAAATATTGAACTTGCTTCAACTGGTTATGAACTCTCTTTTGAAAAAACTACATTAAACTCAATAAGAATCAGTTTCTTTTATTGGAATACACTCTATTTGGGAAATGTAGCTTCTTTTGCTGATTTTTTTAAATATTTGTTAGTACCACAGGTTTCATTTCTGAACATGTTTTTTGTTTAAGGGGGTGGGTCGGTAATAAATAAACATGCTCTTTCTTTTATCTTCTTCAAGATAAGTGATATAATATGACCACTAAACAGGCAATAGAGGTAGTGGATGTGGATCAGAAGATTAAAATGGTTGAGGAGCTGGATGATCATGTCATGCGGTGTGTACGTGATCAGAATGGGAATCATGTTATCCAAAAGTGTATTGAATGTGTACCAGAAGACCATATTCAATTCATTATTTCCACTTTTTTTGGTCAAGTTGTCACGCTCTCTGCTCATCCATATGGGTGTCGAGTAATTCAGGTGGAAGGATAATGAAACTGTTGATTCATCTCGTAATAGATTTACTGCTTTTGAGATATGTGCTATTATCATTGTGTGGAACCTTTCTGTTTTGCAGAGAGTACTAGAACACTGCAAGGACCCACAGACGCAAAGTAAAGTGATGGAAGAGATTCTTGCATCTGTTAGCACATTAGCACAAGATCAATATGGTAATTATGTTATACAGGTATGTATTACTAATATCTCCTGTTAATGCATCTTTTTAATAGTATCATTTGATAAGCATGTTTTTGTAGTGTTGTATGGTTCTTGTAGTTTCCATCCCAAAAATAAGTCCCATTTGAATACTTATATTTGTCCCAGAAAAAGAGGCACTCATAAACAGTAAACTATTTTTGATTATATTTAATGTATTTTTCTAGTGTCTCAAAAGTATAGCTAAGGAGATAATGAACCTTGGTGACAGATGGCCTTTTTTTGAGGCCCCATTATTAAGTATCATTTTTTCCCAAAACAGTAATTTATACTCCATTATTGTTCTCTGGGTGAAACATGTGGTTAATTGGTTTCAACCTCCTTTTGTTACATTCACACGTCACTATAAATGCACCGTTTATTTTTGGCTTTCTCGTACTCACTTTGACATTTTTAATTATACTCCACAACCTTGTCAGCATGTACTGGAGCATGGGAAGCCACATGAAAGGTCTATCATAATTCAGGAATTAGCTGGGAAGATTGTTCATATGAGCCAACAAAAGTTTGCTTCAAACGTCGTAGAGAAATGTCTTACTTTTGGTGAACCCAATGAAAGACAACTACTGGTGAATGAGATGCTTGGCGCAACAGATGAAAATGAGCCCCTACAGGTTTTGTACTCATTTTCTTTTGCTTCATAACAATTTTATTTTTCTTTAAAAAAATCATTTGTTCTATGTTTTCATTTTTCAATTGGTTCTCAGGTATTGTCCTTTTAATGTTCTTCCGTTTATCATTTTGTATGCAGGCTATGATGAAAGATCAGTTTGCAAATTATGTTGTACAGAAAGTTCTGGAAACTTGCAGTGATCAAGAGCGGGAATTGATCCTTTCACGAATAAAAGTCCACTTGAATGCGTTGAAGAAGTACACTTACGGAAAACATATTGTTACTCGCGTTGAGAAACTCGTTGCTGCTGGGGGTCAGTACTTTCCCATCCACACTTTTCAATCCTCTCCTTTTATTTTCCCCTGTTTGGTTGAAGCTCTAGGAATGGGAGACTTATAGATGCCTTCAAACTGTCATATTCCCCTCTGCCAATATGTTTTTTATGGGAAAATAACTTTCAATGATATATTAGCCACAGAAAAAACTATTCCCTACTTTAGGAACAATACCATCTTAGTTGGAAGGCCAACATTTCAGTATACGAGGGAAGAATAATATGAGCACATTTTGTTTTAAGAAAATTTAGCTAACTTATAATTCCAATTATTTCCTATTGCCAAATACTTGCCGCTTCGGAGTTCGGGATGCTTTAGGAATGGGAGACTTATAGATGCCTTCCAACTGTCATATTCCCCTCCGCCAATATGTTTTTTATGGGAAAATAACTTTCAATAATATATTAGCCACAGAAAAAAACTACGGAGTATTCCCTACTTTAGGAACAATACCATCTTAGCTGGATGGCCTACATTTCAGTATACGAGGAAAAAATAATATGAGCACACTTTGTTTTAAGAAAATTTAGCTAACTTATAATTCCAATCATTTCCTATTGCCAAATTCTTGCCGCTTCGGAGTTCGGGATGCTTTTGGATAGACTTCTTACTGAAAACATTTCTGTATTATTTGCAGTATATATCGAAATATTTTTATCATCAATTTTCTGTTTCCCATTTATATACTCCCTCCGTTCTCCAATACATGTCTCTCTTTCTATTTTGGGTTGTTCTTTTCCATTTTTAGAAACTTTTTTCAATAAATATACCAATATACCCTCATTCTCTTTCATACTTTTTTATTCTCTTTCTTACTTTTTCATTTAAACACAACCCACTACATCTTTGACACTACTCCTATTATTTTCCTCTTAAATCTTGTGCCAAATCCTATAAGTTCCATCTATTGGGAGGGAGTATTAAAACAAACATTACAGAAACATAATACGGAGTATTTTTTATACATTCTTCAAAGGGATTATGATACAGGCAGGAAGGGTAAAGGAATTCAGTCGGGTACTTTTGGAGGAATGTTATTATTCCCTAAACCCTTTTAAGATTACTAATTCATCCCCACTTTTAACTCTTCTATTTTTTATACATTGATTACATTGGTCATAGGGGATAAAAGAATTCAATCTCGTACGTTTGGAGTAATGTTATTATTCCCTAAACCATTATTAATTCATTGCCACTTTTAACTCTTCCATTTTCATCTCCCCTGTGGCCCTGTCACCCCCACCCCCTTGAACCAAACATTAATGGCCTCTAACTATTCTTCCAACAATGATGCAGAAAGGAGAATGGCTGCACAGGTCCCAAATGTGGCATAGATTTTAATATATAGAGAAGTATGAATGTACAGCTAACCTGAGGCTAGTTTGAGCGACCCCCTCCCCCTCCCCACCCTCTCTTCCATGGGCTGTGAATGTCAATAAAGTTGTTGCTCGTGCTAGAGATCTGTACATTCTGTAGTTTATGTCTCTATAATATAGAACCAGGTTAAGCTTAAAGGCTGCTTAGAGAGGAGGATGAGTTTTCTGTAAAAATGACACCCACAAGGCAATAGTAGCAGTAATTATATATATTATTGTTGTTTACCATGTTCTTGTTGAGAGACGATGCGTCTATCCAAGGGATTCCAAGGCCGGGTTTTCAGTTTTCATCTATGGTATTTGTGATTAACTTCTAAATGGCATTGATTTATCGACTGATGTCTTTAATATGAAAATTAAGGTGCATTGAATTCAAACAAAAAGTTATTCATTATTCTAATATTTTATAAAATTTAAGAAACAAAACATCATTTGTAAATTGTAACTCACATTTTGAAAACGGATGATGGGACGGGATATGTTTTAGGACTTTTCGTGTTACTAAAATGATAATCACGATAGAAATGAATTTACATTTCAAAATTAAAAGAAGACCTAAGAGTTAGTTCGGTGATTCTGTTTTTATGCGTATCAAGCTTATTTGATTTATGATTTTCTGCATTAAATTGTTTAATACTTCACTATATATTAAGAAAAAAGTCAGTTAGAGTTATTTTTTTTGGTTGTATTGATTGAAGTTACTGTAAATGATTATTTTAGTTATTTGTCATATAATTTTTATTTATTTTATTAATAAAATAGATTTTAACAGAATTAGCGAATACAGTCACTTCAGTCGGAATTTCATAAATTTCATCAGAATCAGTCGATTCAGTCAATTTAAATGTTATCAAATGAGCTCTAAATTAGGAGTGGACTCGGGCTGGGTCAACTGGCCCGGAACCGGCCCGGCCCGCTACTGTGTGGGCCCGGACCGGCCCGGTGAACCGGTTGGTGCCCGGTTCGGGCCACCCGGCCCGGTGAGGTAGGTGGGTTGGGCCTCCTAAATCGTGAACCGGCCCGGCCGGTTCGGGCCTGGTTCGGGCCAATTTATTTATTTTTTCTTTTTTTTTTTGAATATTTTTTAAGTTTTTGTGTTGGGCTGGGTATGATGGCCGATTTGAGGTGGTTTGGGGTGGTTTGGGGGTGAGGGGGGAGGGTTGGGGGTTAATTAGGAAAAGCCAAAAAAAATACAAGAATCGAGGCTCGGCCCGGCCCGGCCCGGACTGGACCCGAGATTACCCGGGCCGGTTCCGGGCCTCCCCTTTCATGAACTGAGGCCCGGTCAGGCTTGAACCGGAACCGGTCCACCCCTACTCTAAATGTGTTACTAGAATGGGTATTGGATGTGGTTCAAATAAAAAGTGTTTAAAGTGAAAAGTGTGAAACTTTCACTTATTTTTACATTAAAGTAAAAATGCGTTTTGCTTTTAAAATCATCAAAGATTAAATTCAATGTGCAAAACTCATTTTCATTTTGCATTAGAGCTTTTTATTTCATTTAAAATGACTATACTATTATTAGTGGGTAGTAGGGCCTGGGCCTAGGCCTGGGCGGGCTTTTTTTTGGAAAAGGAAGAACCGGAACCGGCCCAGGTATAAACCGGATCCGGGCCGGGCCCGCGCCCGGTTCTATGTTTTTTTTTTCTAATTAACCCCCTCCCCCCTCACCCCCCAACCCCAACCCCCCCCCCCCTCCAAAAAAAAACACCCAACCCTAAACAAGAAAAACAAAAAATTGAAAAAACAAAAAAAAAAGCCCGGGCCCGGGCTGGACCGACCAGGCCAGTTCAAGAAAAATATGGCCCGTGGCCCGCCCAACCCACCCCAACCGGGTAAAAGCCCGGACCCGGTTAACACCAACCGGTCCGGTCCGGGGCACAGTAGCGGGTCAGGCCGGTTCCGAGCCGGGTCGAACCAGTTGGGTCCATCCCTGATGGGTAGTGAGTTAGTGACTATCGATATACGGAGTATTAGATATGAATATCACTATCATGCGTTTTGGGAGGGTGATTGTCAATTTGGTCACAACATTGGTTAGGACTTGGGAGTGCATTGGTCCGATTCCGGATTTCTTTCTAGGTTTACTGGTTCACAGTTTTGGAGACCAGGACTGTTTTAGGATTGGGTGGTACGGGTATAGTCTCAATAAACCAGTTAGTATCTAGTCCTGTGTTAACAGTTAACACCAGTAGTCTTGGTTTTGTTTAATCCCCATAAAAAAGTACTCCCTCCGTTCCGTTGGAATGTTCCCGCTTTCCTTTTTTGGATGTCCCGTTGGAAAGTTCTCATTTCCCTAACTGGAAAGTTATCCTACATCAAAACAGGATCAAACCGTGCAAAACAGTGTCAAACAGTGTCGAAACAGTGCCAAACAGTGTTGAAACAGTGTCAAAACGGTAAAATTTACCCCATGGTAAGTTTATTTTCTTAATATGTGTGTAGGTCAACTCGGGAACATTACAACGGGACGGAGGGAGTATAATAATAATTTCCCCCATTTAATGTAATATTGTATGCTTAATTGCTTACTATGCACAATTGCAATTATATTACAATAATACGGAGTAATTATATTATAATGATAATAGACCAAAGATGTTGGGTCATTACAAGTACTCCCTCCGTCTCGGTCATTTCTTCCAACTTTCCGTTTTGGGTCGTCCCAATTAATTCTTCCAACTTTCACTTTTGGAAAAAATATGTGGTTCACATTCATTCACCTTTTTCTTACACAACTACAACAATACATTTTCACTTTATTCCCACTACCTAAATTTGCGATACCGGCCAAAATCGGAAGAAATGACCGGAACGGAGGAAGTATTAAATTACAATTGTACTAAACACGTTGTTATATACGTAGTAAAACATAAGATATTGCTAGTTTATATACACATTTATGTATATAGAGATTACAATACTGGTAACTTACGATTATATGTATTTTTTATTTTAAGTTTCTTGGTCCAAAATAGGACGCTCGTATGCTTTTAGTAAAACTAAGTTAGACACTCAAACAGGAATCAAGAAAGTAGTACGAATAAGGAAAGTTGCTAAAATGTTCTAGTTGCCAGAAATAGCACATCTTCATTTGGAATTACTACCTGCCTTTTATAGGCAGCCTTTTATAGACGTATGCAAATCGTAACCGCTATCAAAAATAATGACTAATTAATTACAACATTAATACGAAATTAAACACATAATTAAACAGCGCATAAATTGCTTGACCGTTACTCTTCTGGGCTGGGAGGTCGGCCGGACTGACAAACTCCTTGCTGGGCTGTAGGTAGGCTCCAGGTTGTGGACTTGGATCCATGGGTCCAAGTTCGGGGCTTGGGCCGATTAGGCTCTGGGCCTAGTCCCATAACTCCATCAAAGTTATTCATATATGGGTTATTAATGATTAAAAATAATTAAAGATATTCATTATAGGAAGGGAAAACTATCAAATAAGCCCTCGTACTATACCGAAAAGGTCGATTAGGCCCTCGTACTTTACAAACACTCAATTAAGTCCTCGAACTATTAAAAAACGTTCAACTAAGCCCTTTCGGTCGGTAAGTAACCGGTTTCCCGGTTAAATGTAACCTGTTTCCCGGAAGCTGCCGTTGCTGGGGTTCGAGCACATCTTCGCCATCGTCGTCGTTTAATCGGAAAATCGATTACTTACCCACCAAAAGGGCTTAATTGAACGTTTTTTAATAGTTCGAGGACTTAATTGAGTGTTTGTAAAGTACGAGGGCCTAACCGACTTTTTCGATATAGTACGGGGGCTTATTTGATAGTTTTCCCTTATAGGAATTATAATAGAATTTTACCAATTAAGTAAAGATATTCTTTATGTCAAATTTAAAGATATCAAAGGGTTAAACTTTACATTGGTACAATGTTTTACTTAAAGCCATACTCAATTTGACAACATGCACAACACTATTTTAAATATAAATTGTTCTAAATAGGAGTAAAAAAGTTTTGAAATTTCAAAATAGGAGTATCATGTTTTTTATTCCCTGAATAGGAGTAATCTGCCAAGTTTGGGAAAAAATGCCATGGTTTAAAACCTAGTAATGCCAAACTTGGCAGAAATTTACTCCTATTCAAGGAATAAAAAACATGATACTCATATTTTGGAATTTCAAAACTTTTTTACTTCTATGTATGGAATTCTCTCTTTTTTAAAATGTACCTAATACTTGCTCATTGTTGGACTCTAAAGTGTTGTGTGCTTCGCAAGGATATCCCCCCGTAGTGTACAATGAATTTTTCTGTTGCCAAAACATATAATGTGTGGGCAATGAAGAAGTCCTGTGTACACAAAATTATTTAGCAGGTTCCATGAATAATGATGAATAATAAGTTGGAATGAGAAGAGAGTTTTGGTTGAAACAGAGTTAACAGATGATGATTCCATAAATAATGAAGAATAATAAGTCTTTAAATAGAATGAGAATGAAGATGAGAGGATATCATTTCACAACTTACTGGAGCGTCTTTAACATTTCGGAGGCATTGGACAAAAAAGTACTTAATACGCACAAATCACATTGAAAATGAGATAAATTGAATAAAAACACTATATGAAAACACATATTCAAAGTTCACGATATATGTTTTTAATATTTAAAAAGATAAGTTCTTAAGTGCAAACATATTTAAAATCAGTAACACCACCATTGCAATCGAGGCCAGCTAATATCCTTTTGTTTTTCAATCTAAGCCACTTAATTTATCTTTCAACATGGTAGATTGTAGATAGCTTTTTGTCAGCTTTCAACTTTGAGAAGCTTTCCCTCCAAAATAACTACTTTACTGATATCAATACCATCAAACTAATTATTTCATGTATTTATCAATTATATATCATCTAATGAAGACAATATGTCAATATAGCAATTATCATCAATATAGCAATATTAACCCAACAAATTTTAATGGTAATTTAGAAATCGACCTCAAATGATATTTAGGAATTTTAAAGGCATAAATTGCCTTATAGTGCTTGTCTGCCGTTTTACAGCTTTGGACGGTTAGGTTTTTATAAAAAAAAGGATGACACCCCATCCTGAGGGTCCCCCAACCCCGACCGGACGGGGATGATGTAAATTGGACTATAATCTCAATCTGATAGATAGAGAGTTGGGCTCTGTCCCCGGTACTTGCAGAGGCCCTATGCATTTTAGCATAGTAACCCCTCATCGCAGTTGCCGGGAATCGAACCCGGGACCTAACCCTTGTGGCACTCCCTCGCTACCAGTTGAGCTACGCACACCGGTTGGACGGTTAGGTTTTTATGAGTTTATCTTTAGGGA